TATACTAGGTAAACACGTTATTTTTCACATATTTTACATTATTACAACACCTCTCTCCCCAGTCTGGCATGAACGGCTCGAATAGTTCCTGCATCAAATGAAAGCCCACCTTCTGAAATACGAAATGTGTTGTGATTGGTTAGCTGGGCCAGTGTGTGTTGTGATTGGCACCACTGTCTGGAAATGTCATGCCCCTTACCATAACCGCCTGCGAGCTTCAGTGTAAATATTGCGTCAAAATCAAATCAATTTGAGCGCGATTTAAACCCGGATGATTGTAACCACTCTAAGTTTGTCTGCCTTGGGAAAACTAGCGTGTCTCCGACATAGTGATAACACTCATTGCCTTCTCTAGTGCAGCTCAACCAGGTCTCGTCCCATTCGTCGATATTTGTGATATCACAAATCCCGGAAAATATGCGCTGTAGTCCAAATGAGTCATTCGCTGTAGTTTTTGAAAAGTGATTTCTGTTAAATAAAATATCTCCTTTTAAATTGGACTTTGAGCTTTGTAACTTTGCAGATCTTTTTATGCTCAAATAGCAACAACTAACTAAAGTTGAAAAAGTGAAAAAGCATAATAGGACCCCTTTAAAGGAATCATTAAATCTTACTATTCAAACTGTCTGTAAAACACAAAAGAAAATATGTCCTGCCTCGGCTATTTTTGTGTTTTGAACACAGTTCTGTCATGACAACTCTCAGAAAGATTAGTATGATAATATACCTGGCAATGTTAATGTGTTTGGTCTTGGCAGAATAGATCTGCTCTGCTGCTTCTGCTGTGGCAGAGCAAGTACCAAGACTTGCGACTGCCAATACATCCACAGACATGCTACTACTGTGAGCATGTAAGAAATACTACTGTTGCACATATAACGTACACGAAATTACCTCGTAGCAGAACTATACAGGTGGAGCTGGGGAAGGTGGAGGGTTTCTGAGGAATGTTGCAAAATACTAAGCAAACACTGGCCAAGTGTTTGAATGTTGAACATTCAAAGCTCATTGGCTGCTGATGCAAAAAAACAAAAAAGTACCACAAAGTCAGAGAATCATTATGTAAAAAACAACCCATTTCTAGGTTCTTTATTACATACAATCTAATAAAGAATATTTTAAACACAATATTCAGTACAACCATCACCAGCCGCTCGATTTGGACCATTCTACTCATGCTGTGCCTGAAAAACCAAAGTGTGAAAGTGAAAAGCAAACAAGAGAGGAGCTCCCCCTGCTGGTCTGGAGAGAAGAAGGAAAAAAACACAATCCCCAAACAAACACTAGCTCACAGTCTAAATCCTCCTCTTCTGCCCTTTGGGTTCTCCGTCACTTTGCAGAAGGCATTTTGGTGGAGCTCGAGGGCGGCCTGCTGAAGCATAAATTAAATTACTATTAACATAAATGGAATTACCCTTAGCAGATCTATACAGGTGGAGCTGGGGAAGGTGGAGGTTTTCTGAAGCATGTTGCAAACTACTAAGCAAACACTGGCCAAGTGTTTACATGTTGAGCAGCAAGATCATTGGCTGCTGATGCAACAAAAACAGGGATGGACATAAGAAATAAATTATGACACACTTGTCATTTTCTGGACAAGTATGTCTTTAAAATATTCACATTTTCTCTGCAGTTGTCACTGGAGGTGAGTGAAGGGCTACCCTTCTTCGTTTGCGGTCATGGCTGGTCCTCCTGTAACCCTCAACATACAAGTCAAACCTGCAGACTACAATGCCGCCAACTAAAGGTGGGTGACATGTGCCTGGCACTGACGCATATGCCCGCCTCTTCATCTCAGCCTGCCAATCAGAGCCTAGCTGAAGTTGGTGGAGATCACGCGGTCCCAAAGTGTCATGCCGAAAACAACCCCACAATGCAGAAAAAACATCAATCAAGAAAGAGACACTTCACAGCTCCTGAACTCAGGGAAATGTCCAAGGTACACAACATCGAAGATTGAGCAGCTAAAGGCTGATGGCGCTTTTCCACTGCGTGGTACGACTCGGCTCGGCACGACTCAGTACGGCACGGCATGGTTCGGCTCGGCACGGTTTGCATTTCCACTGCAGCTCAGTACCGCTTTAGAGTGGGCGGGATTATTCACATGTCGTTATAGTTGTGCCGCCTCTACTACCACGACTCCTAAAAAAAAACGTTTTCATTCCGCATCGCCCCATCAAGCACTCGCTGGATCCGCTCCTCTGCTATCAATGAGAGGAACGTCTGTACTTCCGCAACAGACAACAAAACTTTTTGGTTGTTAAAAAAAAGGTGCACTCGTTCAAAACAGTTGCGTTCGATCCTTCGCTGGCTGTGCTGATTTAAATCTAGCGGTTCTTTTGTGTTTGTGTCGCAAGTTCAGTGACGCAGATAGTGACGATTCTATCCGGCCAATCCGTGATCAGCAGAGTTTACACGTCACGTTTTGGTAACGGTACGGTTCACTTGGAACCCCAACCGAAGTGGTACCAAAAAAAGTACCAGGTAACAGGTACTGTACCCAGTGGAAAACCCCCCAAAAGTGAACCGTACCGAGCCGTACCATGCAGTGGAAAACCGCCATAAGTCATATATTGTCTAATTTTTATTTTTATTTTTAAAGTTTTCATTTACTTTTTTTATTGTACATAAGTCTTTGTACATTGTAAATACCATCTTTTGCAAATATAACTGTGTACATAGTAACTGCTATGTTACCAATTCAATTACACTACCGTTCAAAGGTTTAGGGTCAGTGAGTTTATTTTTTTTAAATAAATAAATATTTTTTATAAATATAAGACAATATTTTATTTATTAAATTGGTCAAAAGTGGCAGTACATTTATTTTTACATTGCTAGAAATAAAATCTATTTAAAATATATGCGTTTCTTTTACACTTTCTATTCATCAAAGAATCCAGCAAAAAACGTATCATAATTTCCACAAAAATACTAAGTAGCACAATGTATTTGAGCGTTGGTAATAAAAATAAATATTTCTTGAGTACCATATCAGCATATTAAAATAATTTATGAAGTATCATGTGACAGACTGACAGGATATGAAGACTGGAGTAATGGCTGCTGAAAATGTACTTTTGATATAACAGGAATTCAATCTTGAAAAATATTTTAATAAAAAAAAAACTATGTAATATAATATAATAAAATTTCTCAATATTACTGTATTTTTGATCGAATCAATGCAGCATAGGCGAGCATAAGAGACTTCTTTCAAACATTAAAAATGTATTAATTAATATCTTTACAGACCCCAAAACTTTTGAACAGTAGTTTATTTAGTCACAAAATACATATCAGACTCCTTACAACATTCTTACAACAACTAACAACAACAAAATTGGATATTACAGTTGTTATTTTTTGTTTTGCAGTCTATAATTTCCTGTATGCACATACACTGGTATCAAGAACATGCTAAAAAGCCTGTACAATATCTGATATTAATATCTGATAACTTTTTGACACTGGACTTCATGGACTTATGTTAAATTGGTGGAAATCTATATACCTGTGTGCTTCTAAAAGCTGACAAAATAAGCCTAGCATATATATATGCAAATAATATTTATGACATAATTTCCTGCTCGTGTGTGTGTGTGTGTGTATGTATATATATATATATATATATATATATATACTGTATATATATATATATATATATATTATGTGTACTCTTATTTGTTGTCTGATTAAAAATTACTTAAATCCTTGCTTTATTGAGTCTTAATTATAAAAATAATTGTTGATGTATTTTTAAGTACGCATCACATTATCTTACATTAGTTATAAAATGGTCAAATTAAGCATTTCCTTTTCTCAGTTTTTTCAGTGACCTTTAGTTAGCAAGATAGCAGCTTAGACTATTAGCTAAGCATAGCACTAAAAGCTATTCTGATTAGTTAATACAATATACCATGATAATTAATGGTAATAACACAACTATTAGTAAATGAGACCAAAAGAGAACAAATTCACAGAAAATAAATTACCAATTGCACTGTAAACACTGGCTCTTCTGAAACCCTTCAAAGGCCAAATACAGGCACATGGCTTTATATGAACTGAATGACTGATAGCTGCTGAGAGAAAACACGTGTTCTTTCATGTATGTGACAAAACCAAAGTGATTCCAAGGCAAAGTTGAGTTGCATATTTTCCGCAGTCCTGTTTAATCGAGTGCTGAACATCTGTGTTAGAGTTTGTTGAGTGTCCTGAAAGAGTGAAATTAAAAACCATTGCTTTGACTCACTGTAACGAAGACCCATCATTTGCATTTCTATTTCACATCTCGTGCAAAATACAGTGGGTCTAAAAGTCTGCAACCACATGGAAATTCTGTGATTCATCATCTAATTTAAACCTGGAAATAACCAGAATTTTGAATAACCAGAATGAAGTAAAGAGATATTAAAAATTCTGAATTCTTCCATTGAAACACATAAGATTCTAAATTTTTTTCCCCCATTCACGTTCATTTTAACTCACATTGTTGTGCTTAGTTGTTAACAGAAATAAACTAATTAAATAAGAAAATCCACAATATAAACATTTTTACTAGTGGTCTCAGACTTTCTTATAAGTTCAAGATAAGTCATGGCAGGAATTTTCCAGGAATTACTTTAGTGAATTCATGCCATCATACAAGTGTTTTTTGTAAAGAAGTCTCTATAAAGCAATGTGCTTAAATCCACTGCCTTTTTCCCGATCAGTCTGGTTAAATCTCTAAGGCCAGTTCTTTCTCTCTGTATGTCCTCTTTGATATTCCAAACTTGGCTCTCTGTGCAGAAATGAAAGCCAGAACACCACACACTTGACTCAGCTGTGGTCAACCTCATACAGTTCCAGGAGTTTTGAGTTTTAAATGAAAATGTATGCTTTGGATGTACACCCCTCTAACAAAGGACTCCAGTTTTGCTCCAGTAATGAGACTCTTTCCTCTCTGGGCACTTGAAAAGTATTTGCATCCCTTATTTTTTCCAGGGCATGCATAGTAATTAATGGCATCCGCAGGCTCTGACGACCATGTTGCGGTACTTTTTCAATATTACATTGGAACTGTCATCAAAGTACAAAACGGAGATTCCATGTAACTGAGTAGGAGCACAGCAGGGCTTTGGGACTGTTTCTGGGTTTATGAAATGGACCTAGGATAAGCAGAGAAACACATGATTTGACATGATTTCATTGTAACATAATTATAACTGCAGAACATGAGTATATAAAATATTGAATAGTCGAATTAAACTAATGACCATCAAACTCCTCAGAGAACTCTGCAAAGTATATGCAATTATACACAGTTTGATGTTATTGACATGTCGCCATATTCGATTTGGGCTCTTGATCAATCAATAGATTTTATTTAAGAGGGAATAACCAATTAATTTGGTTCTGTTTTGAATCTCATTAGGCCCTTTCGCACCTCTTTATTTCCAGAACTAAACGTACGGTACTAAAGTACTGGGACGATTTTGCGCGAACTATTTCCCAGTACCATTTAAAGGGTTGCATTCGCACCAACAGTGTGTACTAGGAAGTGACGTAAGCCGGTCGACAGCGACGTCATTTGTGCGCGGCGTTCAACAACGGAAACAAAGAACAACATTAACAACAGGAGGATGGAGGACGCTGTGATCGGAGCTGTGTTTTTGTTGTGTCTCGCGGGTTTCACAATAATGGACATGGAAAGTCGACGTATACGTAAAGCGATTGAAAGAACGGAAAGGAGGACTAAGAATCTCCAACGACAACTGGCAGTGCTACATTTGCTACAAGTGCCTGCACTTCAGCGTCCGTCCATTTATCGCTGTTCTCCATACTTGCGAAATAAGTTGACATGCTTACAGTATGTTTACACAGCGTTTTAAATCATGGCGGGAGAGGGTGTTTTCGTACGCGTTTGGCCAATCAATGTCTACTTGCCTCATGATTAGTACCAGTGGTGCTGGTTAGACCCTGCTCTGGAGTAGGAGCTAATTTGGTTCTCGAAAAAGGCAGTCCGGTACTAAAATCGCTCCCAGTTCCGGCGGTGCGAACATGCCGAAAAGTGGGTAGTTCCACAATTAGTTCTGGTACTATGAAAAGGTTCCTGCGGTGCGAAAGGCCCTATTGACGTCCAAAACATTGAAATATCATTATAGAAGAAACACAATCATGTGAGTTTGATATTACACGGGGGTCAGTTAAAGATGACCAAATTTTCATTTCGGGGTAAACTATTCCTTTAACACAGAAAATGACTGTGGGACTCACCAGTGTCTGTACAATAGCATGGTTTGTGGCATTCATATAAGAGTTCAAGGGGAACACACATTCCCCCTCACAGTAGTATGCAGCGTAACCCTCTGGAGCAATGATCCAGTCCTGGAAACACAAGAAAGATGAGAAAGTTTAGAGGAGATAAAGGCCCGCAATGAAAGAGGAGTCTAAAACAGGAAGCTGATCACAGTACCTGCCATCCCAGATCTCTAAAGCTGACATAGAGTTCATGCTTCTTGCAGCCCTGTTTGGGGTCTACACTGGAAACCTCTGCATAGAACAGGAGGAAGAATAAATATGTAGCACTTTTGTTAATAACACATTAATAAACTGCATGCTTATTAATTATGAAGCTATATATTTCTGGTAGAAATTAAAAAGCCTGACAATGAAATTACAGCAATGAACTAACACAAAGTTAGTAATAAAGTGTCACCTGCGGCCTCAGCTGTCTTCAAAGCCACCTGGCTGGGCGCAACACCAGGTTTGGGGTTTTTAGAGCGGTGGGGACCCCTCTGTTTGTTTCCTGATGCTGAGCGAACACTACGGAGATGGATTCCTGACGCTTTCAAAAACGCCACCATAAATGGCTGCTTATTCCGAGGTCCAGTGCTGCCCACCAGACCTGCTCTCCTTGGGTTCAATCTTTCACCTGCAGAGGGCGACAGTGAGCTGCATGATATTCTGTCCATGAGTTAGAATACATAAAATTCTGAAATTCTAAACATTACGTCATTCCAATAATTGTAATAATTTGTCAACTGTTTGGGTGTCCAGAAAATCACTGGAGCGCTCTGATGTTTCTGATGTGAATATCTACTTTTGTGTTTCAAAGAATAAAGAAATGTTTGGAACGACATGAGGGTGAGTAAATGATGACAGATGTTTCTATCCCCTATCCCAAATGGAAAATTGACTGTTTAGGATGGTAGTTTGGCAGGTTGTGTTATAAAGATATCTTGAAGATGCTCACCATATGCGGTTTCCAGAGAGAGCTGCAGTCCCAAGTTCTGACCTGGGTTTATAACCCAGTGGTTAGTGGTGACCGTGAGGTCAAATACCAGCCATCCCTCTTCTGCCGCCCATACCACTTGTGAGTCTAGCAGGTACAGCTCCCTACAAAGAGGTCAAATATGGGTCAATACCTCTTTATTACAAATGCAAAAAGTGGATATGATCACTGAAACAATAAAAAAACACCTAGGTTTTACATTAGTGCTCTTTACCCATGTTAAACCCAAAAACGCAATGCTAGAATGTTCTGGGATTACTGGTCTAAGTCTACGTTTCATATTGATAGTAATGGTGGGGTCAATTTTATACAATTTAATGGATAAAAAAGGTAAACTGTCTGTTGTCAATCATGTATAAGGCACAGCTCACACAGAAATAACTTTCAAACTTTTGGTCAACGCGGCGAATCCGAACGTCTATCTCAAACCTCCTGTGAAATTTGCATGGCAAAAACTTTCGATCTAATGTGAAATTCCTGATTGTGTAGATTCCTACGGAGCCCCGCACATGGCATGCAGGAAAAAAAATAGTAGGCTAAATCGTGTGCACGCTTTACTATTTCGTTCCGTCGATTTATAAATTGTGTAATTATTAGTAAATTGTGCGCACGATTTATTTATTTTTTCTTGCATGTCATGTGTGGGGCTCCGTAGATTCCCATTGAAATTATTAGATTTTGTAACAAAAAAAAAATTTGTCAGACAATGTAAATATGACCGCACATTAAAATGTCCACCACAGTAAATAACCCTCAGAGAGACTTTCACTTCAGTTGTTTAAAAACACCCTGTTCACATAATGTAGTCAAATTTGAGATACTATTAGCATCATTGAGGTTTTCTCTACAGACAAATTTACAAACTGCAGAAATGAGATGCGAAAATACCATGACATGCCAGGACTTGTTGTCCTTCTCAGATACAGATATCACAAAATAAGCTCTACTCCATGAGATAAGAACTTGAGGTCTGACTGATACGAGCCATAAAATCCAAAACAACTGACACAGCGCAGGCAACAACATGTTCCCAAGATAGCGTCAAAGTTCGCTCTTATTAAATGTGATGTTTCAGAGATCAGATTGTCCTACGGTGATGAAAACAGGGCTTCTGTATGGCTCTCCAGAACAATGACTTGACTTACAGGTAGGATTTCAGACCTTGAGGCCAACAAGAGACTAGGTCTTTATGTTCCTCCTGTCTAGTCGCCTTGCTGTCTGTGCACTTCAACGGGGCAAACCGTCTCTGCATGACAATAGGAGAGGTGCAGGAAGGATGATTCACAATGGGTGGTCTTCACAGCGAATGTGTGCGTCGGGGGTGGATAATGCTTTAGTGTGCGTGTAATTTAGAACAAGCAACGGAAACCTCAAGAGAGACAGTCTGTCTGGGCATGTCTCACCTGGAGGACTTTTTCAGGTTCTCTGCTTTACGGACACAATCAGAAAATTTCCAAGGAGGTGTGATCAAGGATGAGGGAATGAAGGGGAAATCATTTTGGGTCGAGGAATGGGGGGTTTCTCCAGATGTCCGGGGCAGAGAACCTCCCTTCCACTGAGGACTCTGCATCTCAATTATTGACTGTAATGGTTCTGTAATGGTGGCTGCTCTCACTGCTTGTTAGCGGCCACACCGTAAATCAGATGGAGGAATTCTGTGGGAGCCCTGGCACTAGACATGTACCGTTGGGCAGACAAATCAGTGTGTGTGTGTGTGTGTGTAAGTCCATCACTCCTACATTTAGGCTAAAAAGTGTGGGTGGTGGCATATGTTTCATTTCATTTTTTTATTATGCCTGCAGGCCTTTGCAAACTATTCTTTTAAAAACCCAACCAACGAGAACATACCAAAGTCGTGAATTAGCTTTTACATACCTGAAAAATGATATCCTTGACTTACACAATAAATAACCAAACCATTAAATGCCAAGGGCAAACAGATGCACATCCAAAGTCCATGTGAAAAACTTACTTTACTTACATAATCAGAGCGATTTTAGAGTAGAACAGGGAATTGATTGGATCATGAAAGTGGGTGTTAGGTACCACAATGGACAAGGAGGTTGGAAAAGAGTGGTTGAGATGGGATTTGCAAAGTCAGCCGAAAAAGAATATGGCTTCCAAGATGAAACAATTAATTACATTTTGGAATATCATGAACGATTGAATCATGCACAAGTAATGTTCTGTATGATGTCAAGGACTTTTACAATTATGTTTCTATGAATTTTATAATGACATACCTTTTGGGCTGCTGTTGGAGCACCTGGAACACACTGACACGGAAAGTCTCATTTTCATAGCGCTCATGTACAAAGTCCTTGTAAATGCGGAGCTCCGCAGCTGTCACGGTTTCCCCCGCCGGTATGCGGGACAGGTCGAAACGAAACTCTCTGTGGTGCTGATGATAGAGACGGAGGTCTTCATCTAGATCCCCTACAGAAAAGGGAAGGTAAATTTAATGGTCAGTATATACTATATTATATTAATGTAACTGTCCTTAAAGAAAAAGTCATTTCTATTATACTTTCATCATTCAAATATTATAAATAATTTATTCAACCAGCTATACTTCATTATATTGATGTTTTTAAAAATGTTTTATATTATTTGTGGCATTTTGGCCACAAATGTCTTCTTCGAGGTGTCTCCTTCACAGCCGTGGGTTTGCAGCCCATTATTAATAGTATCTTTTTTTAAATGTTTTATATCATAAACCAGCCAGTTGAATAAAAGCCTTTTAATATTTTGAAGTGTGACATTTTTGGATTGTATTTTTCCCTATTAAAGAGAACCTTCAGATATATGTAACAGAACATCTGAGCATATTGAATTTAATTATTTAAATGTGACCCTGGACCACAAAACCAGTCATAAGGGCCAATTTTTCGAAATGGAGAAAGCTGAATAAATAGGATATTTAGATTTGTTAGGATAGGACAACAATTGGCCGAGATACAACTTTGAAAATCTGGAATCTGAGGGTGCAAAAAAAAAATCTAAAATATTGAGAAAATCGCCTTTAAAGTTGTCCAAATGAAGTTCTTAGCAATGCATGTTACTAATCAAAAATTACTTTTGAATATATTTACAGTAGGGAATTTACAAAATATCTTCATGGAACATGATTTTTACTAATATCCTAATGATTTTTGGCATAAAAGAAAAATCTATAATTTTGACCCATACAATGTATTTTTGGCTATTGCTACAAATATACCCCAGAGACCTAAGACTGGTTTTGTGGTCCAGGGTCACAAATATATTTGTATTATGTAATTGAGGTCTATTTTGAGTGACTGATGAATTTACATATTGCCTTAAAAATGTTAAAAAGCTCATGAGCTCATATTAATTGGAATTTTACATGGACAATTTCTATGAATCTGTGCTTGCAAACTTGTGTGCAATATGTAGCCTTAGGATGTAACATTTCCTGCCTCAGCTAACTGTGCGTGAGACACATATGTGTGAGCTCGTTAAAAAAAATCATCTAAATTTGGTTTGGTCCGAATGCAAACTACGAGCTTTTCTTTTGTCTCATTTGACTTCACAGTACTGCTGCCAATCAATGAGCGCACACACTGACACCACAGCATAAGTCACTGCACCAGACTTCATTCGGTCAGAAACGCTGTGGAGTCACACTGAGCGCTTACGCTTGATTGCCTCACCCACATCACTGTGTCCAAAAAAGAAATGTTTGCTTCCATAAGCCGGTGATTGATCTGGGCGCTGGGTACCCTGGGGACCGAAGCTGGGGGAGAAACCACAGGCCCTGCACCCACCCACCATAGACTTCAATCACACACATGTACCAACCACAAGAAAAGCTAAAGGCCTGGCCCGGAAACCAACGGTGCCCCGCATATACATATACGTAATGGATACACATGCACATTCAGGCTGTATATTGGTGGCTCCTCGCAGTGCTAACCTGAGAGACCTGTTAACTGTGGTAAAATAATCTAATTCCGGATGAGGAAGAGGTCTTGAGTAGCATCTGGCTTGTCCCAAGTATACCAGACATGGTTGACCACATCTGGGAGAAGGTTGTCCCTATCCTGTTGAAAAGACCAGCATATGTTGGGTTGTGGATGCTGGGATCACCACCAGCCTTGTCAAGCAGCTTCACCAAAGGGGCCAGCTTGAACAGCACCACTCCAGCATAACCAATTCAAAGCTAGTCTTTTTAGTAGGGTAGGCCTCCTTTCCTCTTTTTTGGCATCTTAATCTGCGTTAATCCACGTCCATGAACACCAAGAGCGACTAAAATAAAGTATCTCAATGAGTGCAGAGGAAAAAATTATAATGAAGTCTCGGTCAACACTGACTTAAACCCAGTGTTGTATCAACCCAGCCCAAACCCAGCTGAGCCTGCCGATCCTCAGAATTTCCAGCCTGATGGTGGCATAAACATTTCCTGGAGGTTGCGTGCAGCTTTTACAACCAATCTGTCATCCTTGAGTTCCACCCTTCCACCAATTCCAAGCTTTGACCTCCTGCAGGTATGCAGGGAATATGTTATGACGATTCCTCTTAATTTTATGCACATACTCTCTGTAAGTTCATGACATCAAGTGCTAGGGAACAGCGATGCACTTGAGTCTTTTCCAGCTTCTCACTGTCTTGCGAGAGCATGATTATTGGGGGAAGCACTCGGAGAGGAAAAATTCTGAGGCATGCACATACTCAAAATAGCGAGTCATTTGTTTGACCGCAATTAAACAGTGGAAAGGAAAACATGGGTATTTTATGAAGGCAATAATTGCTTGTAAGGTTTGGTGTGTTTATGTGAAAGGCCATATGATGCAAAGATCAGATATGCATGTCGCACCATGTGCTGTGTTTTAACACTTAGCTCTTGATCAGGGGACTGGAATGAGGGCCAATACACTTGGCAGAACAAAAAGTTTTAATTGTTATAATCTCTGTTGAGTAAAAACAGTCATTACACTCACAGATGCAAGCGTAAGCCTTTTCCGCTGTGGGATATGGGCTATCTATCAATTAAAATTTTTTATCAAATTAATTACGGCAGTTAATCTATCAGTTGTATTTTATTGCGTATATCAACATTTGGTTAAAAAAGCTCATAAATGATCATTCAAAGATCATGAAAAAAAAGTGTGTTTACAAGAATAGACTTTAGAAGACAATAGCAGGATGTTCTATTGTCTAAATTCCAGGCTGAATGCTGATCATCAGACAATGAAAAGTGTGTTTTCTGAGCAGAGCTGAAAAACTAATTGGCGGTCTAATCGGCTTTTGGTGCCGATGCTAGAAATCTGATAGAAGATCTGCTTACTTTCTTTCAAATCTGCTTATGAACATAAACAGGTGGATTTGTACGCTGCTTGTTGTGCATGCTTCTACACTGACTTAAGAGTTCGCTGGAATTTGGATGAACAATTCACATAAGCAATCACTGTTTGTTTATGTTTAGTTATGGTAATCTTGGTTGACTTTTATCTTATATAGGCCTTATGCTCCATGTCAAAAACTTCATTCAGCTGTTTTAGTTTAAAATCTACAAGGCCATGTCTTGTAAATGATTCCGATAAGAAAGATTTTGGTGGATTTTTACAGTTTTCTTAGTAGGAGCATCAGTGATAAACTCAGATAAACATGGAAAACAGGAGTAATTTTTTTACCACAAGTAAAAGCTTTTTACCATAAGGTCACAGCCAGGTTGCTGGAAACCACAACCTCTTTGCAAATTAAAACTAGAAAAGTAGCACACATTGATGACAAAGCATTGTTTAAGAGTTGAAAAGTAAAGACAGAACTTGAAAGTAAAAACCCGAAGGTCATACAGGCCTTTTTTCACCATAATATGAAAAGGAAAAGGTTTGTCAAAAACCGATTTGGATTGTTGGCCTAAGAAAGCCTTGCCTGGAAGTTTAAAACATTTTGAAGGCTATTTAAACATTGTGAAGTTTGATACATGAACAGATTGAAATGTGAGAGTTATATAAACCTTAGTATAGTTTGAAGAGAGATTTGAGGTTTGAAGAGATGCGCGTCTTTGTATAGGAGTTTGCTAAGGTGGTTGCTTTACAGGGTGTTCCGACTACTTTTGATGAAATTCCCAAGAGGTCACCCAAAACGTGCATTATTTTCCACTTCTAAACGCAGCATAAGCTGCAGCTGTCATTCTGCTGGAAGGTATTGCAGCTGTATGGTGAATTACAGCGCATTGGAATACTGAAGACAATATAAAGACAGGAACTGGGTTTGAGAAATGCTCAAGGAAGTCACTGACCAGATCATGCACTTCTGAACTTAATAAATTCACACACTTGCAAAAACATTTGCATCATTAGTTTCACACAGCTGCATTTACATCCACATCTCAGAATGCCCCGTCATTCAAATATTCAGCATCTCTTTTGACCACACACACACTTAACACACATTAGAAGGTCTAGTCTTGAAAGCAAGAGTGTTTGGATGATGTATGTGACCCTCCATGTCTACTGCCCTCAGCGCTCTTCAGAAATGCCTCCCTAAATCTTAGTCATGCGAAACAAAGCCCCATTAAACCCCGTGTCTTAGAGCTTTGAGGGGATTCTGTGGAAACTGGATATGTGCTTGCTGCTGTTATATTGAACTGTGTTGAACAATTTAGAAAAGTAAATGCTAATAACGATAGTGATTATAATAATAATAACTCATATTTTCTCAATCTCTCGGAAACGGCAAAAGAAATACTGCAAAACACATTATTTGTGTATGAAATGACTGATGGACAACTGCGAAATAAAAATGTATACATTTATATAAAAATCAATGTAATAAATTGAAGTAAATACAGTTAGCTGCTACTAAATTTGGGGATACATTTTCTGAACACACTGCGCTAAAATATTAGCTATGATTAATAACATACATAATCTCATTCATACCTAAATATAACTTAGAATATAAAAATGTAAAACTAATTAACAACAAAATAATCCCAAATGACTGCAAGTACCATTTTATCATAAAACACTCTTAGTATTTTTTTTTAACAACTATAAGAATCAAGAGGGAAAAGAACAAGAAGGTTTGGCATTGCCAAAAAGTCATAGTTCTCAAGAATACAGCCAACATGATTTATGATAAGAAGAGGGAGAAAGACGGAATCCACCTTGAAACAGATAAGATCCTCTTTGCTAAACTGATTAAAGTAGAAACTGATCTAACATTTGAATCTAGGAATCATGTTTTCCATTAGCAATCCATCCACACATTTAGGCTACTTCAGGTTTTTTATTTATGTATTTTATTGTTTTAAAGATTGTATATCATAAAGTGCTCACCCAGATTGACAAAGCTCATCACCATGTCGGCATCACTGAGAAAGCGACTGTCCTGTTGGGTCACCATCGGGGGTCCCGGGGTGGTGTACGCCGGTTTATAAGAGTCCTCCAGGATGGCGTTATTATACAGATCAAGCATGAACATGGGAGCCGCGGTGTGCCTCTCCTGCAGGAGCGGACGGGGCCGGTGCGGCAGCCCGAGGATGGAGAGGATCTCCCGCTGCATCTCCCTGCGCTCCTGGCTCTTCAGCCGCCGCTGGAGGAAGCTGGACTGAATGTCATTATCCAGACTGAAGTTTGCTTGCATTGCGTCCGCGAGCGCGCTGCAACCACACGCCACTATCAAAGCTGAGATCAGCTGCACTGGAATCATATTTAATAACTTATTCTTCAAAATAAAGTCCTGATAATAAATAATATTTTTCAGTCCTGAGCTGACAGCAAGTCTTGCTACTTCGTTTGATTATATCAATAAGTTAAGTTGGTTTCAAATACACTGACTGTGTTTAATAATCCAATCCAGAGATAAATGCAGCATGATGTGTAATGGTGCATTGATGGTCTCACGCTTTAAATAGCCCGCTGCAGCTCGTGGGTGGGGCGGGCGCACATGGGCTGTCTTTTAGTAGCCTACACAACAACATACAACTACTAGTTTGCTGGAAATGATGTTCTAATTAGTACAGGCACATTTGCACATCACGAAAATTAACCATGTTTTATTATAGTAAAAGTGTAGTAACCATGTCTTTTTTTCTTCTTCAGATTGATTAACCACAGTTTTACTACAAATACCAAAATAAATAAAATAAATAAATAATAATGTATATATATATATATATATATATATATATATATATATATATTTAACCATGATATTTGTTGTAAAACTGTGGTTATACAAACGGTAATCAATGCACCAAAAACCATGGTTACTACACTTTTACTATAATAAAACCATGGTTAATTTTCGCAAGGGATGTTATTATTATTAGGGATCAGTTTTACCTCTTTGATTGCTCGATGATGCAAACTGTAAGTAAATTGGCTAAATAAATAGCTTCTTTTTTTTTTTTAAGTGAGAAGACTTTGCCTCTGGTCATGTGACTATTTACACCATCTAAAAAGTTTGCATTTTCCTTTTGCCTACAGTTAACAACCGTGTAAAATACACCGGGCTGCCTTTTAGTAAGCAGTGACATTAACTGTTGAGAATACTATGATAGTATTAGTAAAGACACACTGGTATTTGGCATCAGTTCTGTCAGGACAACTATCAAAGATGATTGACAATTAGCATACAGTTTGGATTGGCTGTATGGTTCAGTTCTGTTCTGGGCAAGAACTCCCTGCGCCTCCATGCAGCCTAGCATGGATGAGAGCAGGGAGAGCAGCAATAACCCCCCAGGGTAAACAGAACAGAACTGTCATGAATCTGGTCCATGAACTTCCGTCTGCTTACCATCAGAGGTCACCCTTTCCATTACATTGACTCTCGCACTACACAAACTGTTGCATATCATCCCGGACTACATATCCCATCATTCATTGCACTGATTGCACACAGCACTGATTGCACACAGCTGTTTCATATTACTCACTCACTATTTAACACTCACTCAAACAACCATTCTCTGCCGAGTATTGTATGCACTTATCGCAAGCAGTGATAGCTACTTTACAGATCCCTCGTTAGTTTCCTAGCCCAGCCCAGCCCAGCCTAGTCTTGCCTTGTCTTGTCTGTTTTCCCGGTTTCTGATCTTTGCCTGTTTTCCTAGATTTATCCCCTCTAGTCTCGCCCTTTTGATTCTGTTCACCGATCGTTGACCTACGCTAGCCCTAGGATTATTCTTGTGTCTTGCCCGCCATATACCTGTTTGCCATTGTTCAACCCTGCCTGTGTTTCTGACCTCTTCTGCTTTAATAAAAGCTTGCACATGGATCCGCACGTCTCACGTCTTGTCAGCCCCGTTACAAGAACTAACATAAATGTATTGCAGATATTGTTAAAGTTCAATCATTTTATGTACACATTTTAGAATTAGTCTGATTCAAGAAGAATCAGAAGGCTAAATCCTGACTGACAGAGGAGGAGTTGGGGATGGAGGAGGGTAATTAGCTATTGAGCAATGCGAAAACTGCTGATAATACTGAGGGACCTTATATATGAATGGTAAACCTTGCAAAAAGTTATTACAATTATTATTATTACTACAATCAAATTTAGATATTGTGCAGTTACCGGAGTTTTTAAAAAAGAAAATGTGTTTAAAATGTTTGTTTTAATTAATTGTTTTACAGTAGCAACAATAGCTGTGGTACTTTGGGATAAACTCTCGCTACCGTGATACATTTCTTTTGACAGTTCAGCGCTATCCCTTACTCAGTTCCATAACAGAATCCTGCTTTATTTTCTCGAGGTTAATCATTGTAGCCTTCTCCGTCTGATCACACAATTACCTCCTGACCTAATCAATGCAAACCCCAGCACATCCTTGACCTGTAGCCCACCACGGGTTAAACGTGTTTCACTCTCCGTCTGCCTTAATCTCTGTCCGATTAGAGAACAAACATCAGGCAAGTCATGACAGGACTCTGAAAGACAATGCAATGACAGCTCCAGCATGGACGATCTGGCATGTTGCTGACCACCTGCTGTGGTTAGGGCCTCTTTTCCCTGTGCTGGAGCCTGGAGACACCAGTCTGGCAACCAGCACCACCCTCCTGCTGTGCTTGCAGTCTGCGTGCAGCGGCCAGACTGAGCCAAAAGGTCAAACGAGTCCCACACCCAGGTTAGCTCATACGTACTGCCCATGCTGAAAGGCACCAGTGATCTCACCAACTCTACTAATCTTTCCCTGACACTTTTTCTCTGCAGACCTGGGCTGTGCTAGGGAGGGGGTTGATAGTTTGGGTGGGGGGACAACCTGGAAAGCTGTCCCGGGCCCTGTGATGAGGGTTAGGCTACCCAGAAGAGAACAGGCCAGCCCATAAAAATAGCTGTTTCACTGTAAAGAACATATCTTTCTCTCTTCGAAGCTGCCTCTCCTCTTTCTGAGATATTAATGTGCACTTAAATTAGCAAGATCTGCTGTCTGTGTTTAAATGTACACTGTCATGAAATAAATACATCTGGATTCATCATGAGAATAACAATACATTGACTTTAATCAACATTATTTGATCATGTAAAGCCAACGTATGAAATAATAGTCAAAAAAGATCATTTTTTGAAATGGAAAAGTTTAGATGAAACAAAAAAATCTTATTTGATTCATCAGTCTTGTATGACTGATATAGGAGAATATGGAGCTCATACTCAAGGAGGAAAAACACCTCAGATTTATTCAGAGGCCCAAACTGAGCAAAAATGTGCAATTTGGTGCAGTCGCTGATATTTATGTGGCCAAAACATAAGATGAAATTCTAATTATAATGTAAGTCAATGAGCTCCAGTGCCTATAACCGTAATAGCAGACTTCTTACATAAAATGCATATGAAATACATATTAGTTGTCACTCTATATCTCCTAATAATATTTCTTAGTAATGCTTGATATTTAAATGCTTAGTTTATGATAAAGCTTTGTAGTTTTTATTGTGGAGGCAAAATGTATGTATGCAATGCAATACAATGAATTGAGAGATGATTGAGAGATAAATATTTCTCAAAAGTATCATATTTGTTATCATATATATATGTGTGTGTGTGTGTGTGTGTGTGTGTCATATTTGATACTTATATTTTAACATGATTTCTCTAAAAAGATTTATGAATAATCAAGTAAATGTTCATCTTCAAATGTTACAATATAAAAGTTCTTCTTTCATTTACTTTATAAAAATTAATAAAGATTTTACAGCTAAATGACACGTGAACCACGACCTGAAGGAGAATGTGTTTAGAAGGACCTGTACCTGAAAAAAGCATATTATACTACTAAGTATATAAACTATCAATCAGATGACAGAAAGTATAGTATTATGTACAACAAGAGGCCTTAATTAGAGACCTTAGAAATAAAAAATTAAAATAAGCATTGTGTTCCTCCCATGGAATTTAAGAGCTTGAGTCCTCACACCTAGTTTAAACACGCCAGAAATCAGGCAACATTAAAGGGATAGTTCACCCAAAAATGAAAAATGCTGTCATCATTTACTCACCCTCATGTCGTTCCAAACCTGTATGAGTTGCTTTCTTATGTTGAACACAAAAGAAGATATTTTGAAGATTGCTGGTAATCAAACAGTTGGTGGTTGCCATTGACTTCCATAGATTTTTTTTCCTACTACACTCTTAAAAATAAAGGTGCTTCAAACGGTTCTTCAAGCGATGCCATAGAAGAACCATTTTTGGTTCCACAAAGAGCCATTCAGTCAAAGGTTCTTTAAAGAGCCATCTCTTTCTTACCTTTTTATAATCTGAAGAACCTTCTTTCACCACAAAGAACCTTTTGTGAAACAGAAAGGTTCTTCAGATGTTAAAGGTTCTTTATGGATCCATTTAGACAAAAAGGTTCTACTATGGCATCGTGAAGCACCTTTATTTTTAAGAGTGTATGATTATCAAAATATCTTCTTTTATGTTCAACATAAGAAAGCAACTCATACAGGTTTGGAACGACATGAGGGTGAGTAAATGATGACAGAATTTTCATTTTTGGGTGAACTATCCCTTTAAAATAATCCCCAAACATGTGAACAAGCTACTCAAACAAAGTATTTGTCAGGTGGAATCTCTCAAACTTAATCGTGCAACAAGCAAAGCAAGCAGCCATTTAAAGCAGCTATATAGCCATCCAACCTGTTGTACTATTCAATATTTGCATTAATCACTTCTGCTAATTCAGAAATCCAGAGACACTTTTGAGGGAAGGGCTCTCTTTAATATCAGCTGTTGATGGGAGATAATCCCTCAGATGATAATTCACGACTTGAGTTTCTTTGTGCTAAAACAAAGAGCTGGGAGGCGCCCTCATGTGCTGACAGCTCATTCAGTCGTGCTCTGTATGTACTCCACTTACAAAACACAAGATGTGCTAATGTAATCACACAAGTAGGCGCTAATTGTCCTACGGGGAGTGCAAGTTTGTGCGTCTCAAATAGGGTTGCCAACTTCAGAAAAGGAAAATAAGGGACAATCGTGGTTTTTCATAGAAAAATAAGGGACAGAATAAGGGATACACACACAGGCCTATTTTATATATATATATATATATATACACACACACACGCAGGTATATGTTTTAGATTTGTAATGTTCTTTTAAATGGTGTCTCTTATGCTCATCAATGCAGTATTTATTTGATCAAAAATACAGAAAAAAACTGTAATATTGTTAAATATTATTGCAATTTCTAATATTGGTTTCCTATATTTCTGTGACGCAGCACTGAATTTTCAGCATCATTGCTCCAGTCCTCAGTGTCACATGATCCTTTTATAATCGGTGTTGCAACTGTTGTGCTGCTTAATATTTTTTTGGAACCTGTGTTCCATAAACAAAATAAAAAGTTAAAAAGAACAGAATTTATTCAAAATATAAATATTTTCTAACAATATCACTTTTTATCCATTTAACACATCCTTGCTGAATAAAAGTATTCTAAAAGTTTCTTTAAAAAAAAAGAAAAGAAAAAAAGAAGAAGAAAAAAAAAAGATATCTACTGACCCCAAACCTTTTTTTTTTTTTTTGGAATAGTTGTGTAGGCTATATTTAACACAAAATATTTATTTTGAATAAATACTGTTCTTTTTAACTTTTTATTTATCAAAGAATCCTGAAAAAATATCACAGGTCGTGTTCTGTTTCTGTGTTTTGAGACACTGAATAAAAACATAATTGTTCTGAAAAGTACAAATCTTAACTGAATAAAGTTCACATGGAACCAGTGTTGCCAACTAATTTTTAGGGGAAGTTGCTAAACGAAGGTCAATTTGTTGCTAAAAGTTGCTAAATCACATTGTGATGTCATTGCGTGATGATGTCATTACGTAATCACGACGCAAAATTGTGTCACTACATCAAATCTCAGCAAAAAAATATATCTTTTATATATGTTCATTTAGATTTGTTTGTAAAATCATATAAATGCATAATATAATATTAAAACATAAATAAATATTTAAAATACACCATTGAATTATTGAAAACGTTCACATTTTTGAACGATTGCAATTTAAGTTTTTGTTTTTATTAGCTAGTAAACTAGAAAAACTACACATTCTGAACAATTATACTTTTAAGCAGTGTAGTAGTAGTCTAAGAAAAGTCTGTAAAAATAGGGCACAATCTACAATGTTAATATGAAGGAATTTTCCGTATTGATTTTTCACAGGTTTTTTTTTTTTTTACCTGCATTTTAAATTACGCATTGTATTTTGTGTTCTTGGGTTACAATGGATAATGTCCTGGGATTGTGAATTACTATACCTTTTCCATTTGTACATATTTTTCTTACAGTGTACTAACTGATCAACAAACGCAGGTACACGCTACTACCATTGTGTATCATAAATGAACAATTATTCAATTCAGTTGAACAGTTGCAAATAGCAATTAGAATTTAATTCATGTGATGTGTGTACTTCTAGGCATCTTTGGTTTCCTCTTTTTGTGTAATTTAGATGTAAAACGTGTGCTTTTTATTATTTGAGTCACTTAACCCAAGTTGCTAAAAGCTGACAAATACATTTTAAAAATAGCTACATTTGTTGCTAGGTGCTTTTGAAAGAAAAAGTTGCTAGGGTAGTCTGAAAAGTTGCTAAATTTAGCAACAAAAGTGCTAAGTTGGCAACACTGCATGGATCTCTTGAAACAACAATTCATTAAATGTAGATGGGGAGGCTGTATTTAAAGAAGGTAACTTCAAATTTAGCCTTTACTGCCACCTTTCGGACAAATTATGGAAAAACACAGAGAAATTGAAAAGCAACCAGCAAAAGTAAAAAGTCAATAGTTATGTTGCAAATGTAAGATATTGTTTATAGATTTTTTTTTATAGATATAGTAACACTGTAAATTGTTTAACCATATAAATAACAAACAAGGATTTTACAAAACTTATTCTTAAATAAAATCTTAGCGATGCAACACTTTCTTCAGGCATATTCTGTACATGAACTAAATGACAACAGTGACATTTAAAGGAGGACCAAACGTGGCTTGTGTGTAACACAGATGGTTAAAATGGTAGGCCTATATATGTAAGAAATGTACCTCTTATCCATTTCGTCTTTTAATGCTAGAACCATCGATTTATAATGTATTATACAGTCATTCTTGAGAAGTGGGCCAAAACAGGGTGCAAAATTGAAAAAATAAAACCTTGTACTCAGACAAATGAAACTATATTTATGTATCTTATATGTACTAAGCTACCGAGCTATGCTTTGATACAACCTCTCAACGTTTCTCTGTTTTAACAAAATGTGCTTTTTTTTTAACCTTGGACTGTGTAATATAATTTCAGCTTTATCTTTAACAGCATTCAAGATGTTTTTAACATTTCAAAACACATTCTGGTGTTAGCAGACAGATTGTATAATAATGAGAAAATTAAATTGAAGGCGATAATTGTGTTAAATACGTTCTATTATAAATCCCTCATGACACTGAAAATATTGTTATTTTTTAAGCTAATAGCAGTTACCATCGCTGGAGCTGTTTTGTGCCATGTCTCAAGAACGACTGAGCGTTGGAACTTGGAACCCAACCTGACGTCATCGCAACAAACGCTCACTGCGCATGCGCGTGAACTATAAAGCGCGGGTTCGCACGTTCTTTCTTCCCACTTCCGTCTTTCTTGTGGAGGGTGAGTAATATTCACTTTGTGATTTCGTTCTTTTTTTTTTTTTATGTAGTTTTTTTATCTACTGGAGAAGTTTTTAAAATCACGTTCTGTAGGTGTTTTACCAAAATACCCACAGTGCTGAAGTTGTACGAATAAAAACTGAAACGAAGGATTTTGGTGTAGGTCGGCGCTGAGCACGTGGCTCATTGCCCCGGGAAGCTTCTAGATCAAGAAAACTTGACTGCTTCTGGTTTAGTATTATATTCTACTGTTTAGTGCATATGGTTGTTAGTAAAGATGGATAAACACAAGTTACTAATGTTATTCAATAGTTTTAACGTGATCATTTAAGCGACTTTGCAGTAGGTTATTTCCAGTGGCCAAACTATCTGAGCAGCTGTATTATGAATTTCACCCTATATGTATTTGTTTTACAGTATGTGGGCTGTTGGACCATGGAGTTTTCCTATAGTGCTTCCTCAGATTTTGGTGGGTTTAGGTTTCCTCTAGACTTCGCTTTAACACTTTTGGTAGCAATGATGACTGAACTTTTTTCCCCAGCAGATCGACTCTGTTGACTTTTTAGAACCAAAAAATAAGCCATATGATCTGAGCAACCATATAGTTGCGCCAAAATCTGACCTTCATGTTTTGGAATGGCATTGACGCTTACTCCCATCTCCACAGATCATACTGGAGCCAAATGGGTAACCTTAAATTCATCAGACTTCGTTTCAGAAGTCTTTAACGCTGTAAAACGGGTAAGGCTGAGCATGTTCTTGGCACATCTGGTTGCCATTTACCCCGGTGCACGTGATGACTGATCTTTTTTCCCCAGCAGATCGATAGTGTTGACATTTGCTCTAAACTTTAAGCCAATTATTCTGAAGCGCCATCAGAATAGCTTGGCATACAGCGTAGTGGTGTGATTTGTTGTTAAGTCCTTTTCAATGTCTTTTCAAAAAGGAGGAATTCTGTAATTCAAGCGGACCACACAGTGACCCTTGATGAATGGCCACATGTGAAGGTATTCGTTGTTCTCCAAGAGTGTGTATTTTATTATTCCGTTCCCCAACTTGAACGTCAAGTTAAATCTGACAGTTTCTTCCTTTTTCTAGGTGTTTGAGTGATTTGTGCTCCTGAAGGCCCTTCAGTGCCAAACCCACGTGGAGCAGAGGAAGTACACGATGGGTTTTCTCCAAGCAGTCTAGCGTTTACCAGCCATAGGGGAGGAAATGCCTTTTTGAGAGCATTAAAGTTGCTTTTATTTTGACCTACTAGTGTTCCAACATGCTGTTTTTGAAGAGGCATTCAAGTTTGTTCAATTGTAACTTGTTTGTTCGATGCAAGTGTAAAGCGTCTGGCAGATACCTTTTACATGTTCAATAAAACTAAGCCATGAACTGAAATGGTTTTCTGCATTTGTCATCTGTGACCTTACAGGTCTAATGTAAATCAAGCTGAATTTTCAGTGGCGTGAAATTTGTCTAGGGGATGTTCAAACTGAAATCAATTCAAATTGCGCAAAATGAAATTAAAATACAAGTAAACATTAAACCGTATGATTGCTGTAGGTTAAGTGTCTAAAATGCCAGAATTTAAAAAGGTCCGATCTTCTGATTTTGTGTAACTTTTGTCACCAATGGTGTTACGTTAATGGTGCTTTTATGCATTGTTTTTTGTCACCAATGGTGCTTTTATGCATGTAACACACGAGAATTAAATACTCCACTGCACACGGTTTTAAAGCATTCTTTTGTTAACCAAGCAGTAGCTTTGTACATGTTTCATGAATCGTCACAAAGCTGGCTTCTCAAAGGTTTTACATTTAGTGAATTATACATCCACTAATAACTGCCAGTATTTGTATAGGGCACTAAGAAAAGACCATCCAAACTCTTCTCGGTGCACAGCTCTGCTTTATATTCAAACAAAAGTGTAGGTCCCATGTGTCGTGTCCCCATTTGATTCACCGATCATAAAAGCAATATCAATCATTCACACTTTTGTACAAAATATACAGATGTCTTAAGACTTCAAGACATCCCACACCCATTACAATAAATCCACCCAATGCTGCAATAATTCTCTCTTTTGTGTCTGTAGTGATCCTCAATGTAACGGCACTCTATGATCCAAATAACCTGAAAACACAAACGCAAAACACACAAGGACACTTTAAAATATGCCACTCTCCACAAAAACAACGTTTGTTTTCAATGGAGCATAAACATGACTATTCTGAGAGCATGCCAGTTGAAAACAACTAAATGTGTATGAAGTCAATACTCACAAGATCATGCAAAACATGATGAAAATGTTCCAAAGAGCAATGAATATGCGAAAGTACCGCAGACTCAGCAAAAACTCTCTGATGTTGTCGCCTAAAGAATGCATAAGAAGAGTAAGAGATGACCCCGGCGCTATTAAGGGGGGGGGATGCAAAAACGCAGCATTTTTTGATCTAATATTTCATTAAAATGCATTCCAGCTGTATGCCGTGATAGATTTAGGGCCTCTGTGGTGACCTGTCAGCCGTCTGCTCGCTGTACAATTAATATTAAACTGTCCCAATAATATTAAATGAACTATTATTTCATAATGCAACGTTAATGAATTGCTGTTACCAGTGCTGGACGATCCAGATTCATCGCCAAACCCTTGAGACTGCGTTTCTCGCTTCTTTCTGCACACAGACAACGATTAGCAAGCTATCATCCAAATGAAGACTGACAGATAGCATTAGTGCTTTCACTCACAGTTTAAAGTTGAGCACAGCGCCGGCGTTCATGAGCAGAGTGCTGAAAACATAAGAACATCCGTGACAATTATATACCACACAGATGAACATCACGAACAACTTTCTATTTAATAATAGCGCGAAATGTATCCTGCTTTAGAAAAATGTGACATTTACCCAAAAATTAAAAGATCTCCGATCATTTTGGCTGATTATATCCGCCTCGCTTCGTCTTCTTCTTCTTCGATGTTTGTGTGAATACAGTATGAGTCCTCCGTTCATCACCGCCTCCTGACGGCAGATATAGGACACGACTGTTGCTGCGCTCTCCAGTCTGCGAAAGGACTTCTTCTTCTGATGTTTATTGGCAAGCCAATTTAAAGGTGCATTACCGCCACCTACTGATCTGGAGTGTGGAGTGAACAGATTTGGTAGAGAGAAGGATATACAGTATGTATATATATATTTATATATATATATTTAAAAAATTCGACAATTACAATTTATATTCTTTCCATATTTCCTGTCCTTTTTAGATAATTGAGCACTTTTTCTTTAATTCTTGATTGCATTTGTCTATTCCCTAGTAATATCTTGAGTGATACTTTATCATGTCTAACCTAATTTATGATTAAGTTGATTTCTTTCTCTTTCATACGTATCACATTCTAGAAGAATGTGCTTTACTGTTTCTGGATTCCCACATTTATCACATCAGCCGTTTTCATGCTTTCCTATTTTGTGTAAATTGAAATTTAAAGCTGAATGTCCAATCCTCATTCTTGTTATAATAACATCTTTCTTCCTGCTCCCACATCTTATTCTCTCTTCACCTACACACCCCTGTATCTGGTAAAGATGTCTTCCTTTTATTCCACTATCCCATAACTTTTGCCATATCTTTCTTACTTCAATTGACATTATTCTCTTGATTTCAGATTTGCTAATTGCTATATTAATTTCACTATGTGAGTGTTTCAGAGCCATTTTAGCCAAGCAGTCCACTTCCTCATTTCCCTCCACCCCAGTATGAGCCGGTACCCATAGGAAGCATACCATTATCCCTAATTGTCTAATTCTAAACAAGTACTGTAATACTTCATATATTCAATCTTGCCGTGTTGCATATTTTCCACTCATTGGACTTGTTAGAACAGACATTGAATCTGTACATATTACAATATTATTTGGTTGTATTTCTTCAATCCATTGTAGTGCTAATATAATTGCTATTAATTCTGTGGTAAATACAGACATATGATCTGATATTCTTTTGGCTATTTTTATTTTAAATGCAGGAATATATACTGCTGCTGCTGTCCTTCCAGATTCAGGATCCTTCGACCCATCCGTATACAGGTGCATCTCAATAAATTAGAATGTCGTGGAAAAGTTCATTTATTTCAGTAATTCAACTCAAATTGTGAAACTCGTGGATTAAATAAATTCAATGCACAC